CTCCAACATAATCTAGTGTTCACTTATCAGGTGCTGTCTGAAATAAAGTTTAAAAACTAATGAGTAAAGCAAGTATTGAACGTTTTAATGTTTGGGGCCATTGATATGAAATTTACACCAGATAAACAAATTACTCCATTAATCAACCCATGAAATGAAAATGTAATGAAATGAGAAGTCCAAATAAACAGTTGAAATCTGTCGGCAGTTTGAAAGAATTCTGGCTATTTGCAAATTGATATCAGCTAGTTTACTATTAACTAGGGTAATGAAATAGTTTTTTATTACCTGAGTATTGGAGAGAGTGATACAAAGGGTGAATATAAAATAAGCATTCAAAAACTTTAGGATGTAACGATTCTACTGATGGCAATGACTTCACCGACTTCTGTAAACCTCTAAATGTTTTAGTCGGCACTGTTAGAGCGATAACAACAAAAACTCACCATAAACCAGGCACCTAAAAAGACATAAATCTTGACAAAGAAGGTAAAGTTTTTTAAATATATTAAATCAAGGAATAATGCACACAACCACAATTGATTTTAGATTTGCTCATTCACTGCACCAGACTTCACAGCTGAAGAAAAGACATGTTGAAGCTTGTTTTAAGTTTGCTTTGGAAGATTTGTGAAAGTCAGTGAAAAAATGTGAGAATATAATCTGGTCAGATGGAGTCAAAACTGAGCTTTTTGATTTTCATTGAACACAAAATGTTCAATAACGTGTTGATCACCCAACAACATTAAACCTCAAGCACTGTAAGAACATAAAGTTTGCAGGTAAGAAAAGCAGCAATATGCCACAGACCAACTTTGTATAATTGTGTACAATTATGACTTAAGGTATTACAGTTTAAAAATAACATGCAATTGTGCAAAAACATTAAAAATTAGAACCATTTATATTTTACTTGACAACAACTTTCTACCAATCTAAAGTATATGATTAATGCATTTTATTTACACTTTTGCTTTATCAGCTTTTAACAGGAATTAATTAGTAACTGACTGTGAGGAATTTATGACTTAACTTCCCTCTATTGTAGCTTTCATATTATGTTACAGAAATATAAACAATTGTGCTTTGGTTGTTTGGAGTTTTCTAACTTTATTGACAGGGCAGAGATAGATGGAAAAGACTTTGTGATAAGAGGCCTCCATTCTTTTAACTGGATGTAAAATTTGCCCAGACAAAATGTGTTGGACATAAAGTTAGTTAATAGAAGAAAGGAGGAAGTGATACAAATGCTCTGCAATATTCACACATCAACACAGAGTAGGGTTAAAGGTCACTCTCAAAGCTCAAAGCAAACACTGAGTTAATAAATGTGGTCTGTTTTAAAAAGTAACCAATGAAGGTGTTTTCGCTGGATTTTAAGAACTATGACAAACAGATTAATGAATATGTTTCGACACATCTGTTACACCGCATTTGATGGTTTGTCACGCTGAGTCAAGACAAAATTTCCCAAGTTAGTATTTGCAAACAGGAAGACGTGAGTTTGAACATTTAGCAGCATTTTTAGTGGTCTGCTTGAAAAAGCAATGAGCCTCAGTTATTTTTATTTTTTAAAACAAGCTGTTACAGGAAGTGATTGTTGGATGTACAAATAACAACAACTGTGTGGTTTAGTGTGCGCTCCCTTAGTTACTGTTATTTTCCATCTGCACTTTTCAGCCTTGTGTCAAAAATTTGTATTCCAAAGAAGACTGAAAGCATATGTGTTTACAGATGAAGTTTCCGTTTGGGTTTTGCTCAGTTTGGCTGATCTGGTACAAAAGGTCATTATAACATGATGAGATGCAGCTTAGATGAAGATGTCACACTAAAAAAAAGATAATGGACTTCCTGTAGATTTAATTTTAGAATAAAAAAATGTGACAACTGATTTCCTGTTTTTACCCAAAACTATTTTGAGACATCAGACAGTCCAGCCTTGCTGAGAGAAATATTAAAATGACCAAAAGCTCCTGAGAGTGAACACAGGAAGAAAGCGACCATCCATCGCCACTCTCCCTTTAAATTAGGAAACCATCTGCACTGTCTTTCAGTGCCATTCATCAAATGGTTGCCTGTCAAAAATCTGTGCAGAGGTCCAGAAAGGATCTGTCCTGACCTGTGGGTGCGTTGCCACGACAACTGGAGTGGTGGTGGGATGGGAGCAAGGCTGTCCTCTAATTGATGGTTTACTGTGAGCTACCAAGAGTATAATTTAAAGTTTGGTGGAGGATTAAAGAAGTCAAAATATAGAGATTATTTGAACACAATGAAAGTTTTTCTTAGCATTAAATGTAGTTTATGTATTTTGAAAGACATTTGGCTTTTGACTTTAAAAGACTTCCTGTTTCTTTGATAGTGACCTCAGGAGATCTGAACTGCTCATGTTTTGCAAACAGTTTGGATAGAAATACCACTGTGATGTAATTCATGGCTTCACAACTTCAACAAACTGAACACAGAAAAAGCTCTTTTTTTCTCCTATTTATGCTGTCAAGAGAAAATATTTCACTCTGAATGTTTTTTTTAATTTAATCATTGATAACAATAATAAGAGATCAGACCAGATATTGAATTAAAGCAGATCCTGACTATAAGAAGATGAAAAAAAGTAACGCCCAATAACAAATTCACTGAATGAATTTTAGAACAATTTTTATTTTAGCATTAAAATACTCCCTGCACATCAGATATGGTCTGGTCTAACCCCATTTAAGTAATTTTATTCATCCTTTAAGGCACATTCCACTTATGATCATGTTTTCTCCAGGCTACATAGCACACATTGCTGCTGCCCTCATTTTACATTGTTTCCATCTAAAGCATTGTTTTCATGAGCCTCTGATACAAAATGCAATCCAGTCATATGGTCCAAAATGTAACAATAGAAGAATTCATTGTTACCCTCCCTATATGGAAATAAAATGTAGCATTCACTTCGATATTGCTAATGCTTTTGAGAATACTTTTAGGAAACTGCCTGTTTCAGATAAAAATATGAAAACAGATCTTGGACAAAATGCTTAAAAGGTCCTTTATTTCTTTAAGTTTGCTCTTCCAAAGAGCCAGGGGTCAATATAATGGTTCCAAATTCGCATCAATAGTTTTTCAGACTTATTTTTTTACTGCCTTTTCCATTCATCATTTGTCTGCAAATGAAAAGAGATCCGATCACAGGGGCATCTAGCCTGATAAAAACCAGCCTCCTGATGCTATTTGCTTCATTCAGAGGGTCTGGACCCTCAGCTGTTGAGAAACGATTGCTTCTGGAGGTTTGGACTGTGTTGAAGTTTTAAGTTTTACCTGATTGCTAGCATTTCCCCGTCACATATGTAATGTTCCCTTTTAATGCTTTGAACCTTGCCAGAAAGTGTCTGCGCTGTAAATAACAACTTTGAGTTAAACGAGGCAGCTGTTAATGCTAATGTAATATTTGAAAGTGTGGCCAACATAGACTGAAGGACTTCATTCAGTGTCGTCTGCCTGTAATTTTAACAAAAGCAGCAGAGGAAGTGAATGAAGCCGTTCAGTCCGCACTTCCAAATGTTCGCATTTCAACGGACCAAGAGGAATGTTTAAAATCATTTTATTGGTGGCAAAGATGTTGTTCGGCTCGTCACTTCTTTCTTCACAGGAAGGAGTGGTTGTTTACAGCGCATACGATGTTAGGTAAGCTTAATAGCATAGCTGCCACATTACAGACATCATGGCACAACGTTAGCTTTTGGGTAAAATCAGAGCCACAATTGTCTCTCAATAGCTGAGGGTCCAAACCGTCTGTATGAAGCAAAGCGTAAAAGCAAAGGGCTGGTATTTACTAGGCTACTTTGAATAGGACATGACCATCACAACAAAGTCAGGAGATTACCCACAGGTTTTTAATCTAGTCCTTTTACACATTCTATAAATGTGACAAAATAAGTAAAAGTGACCAGCAGCAAAACTACTTTTGCTGTTGTTTTTGTTTTCATGGGCAGCTTACAAAAGTGACCTAAATAAGGAAAGTTACTGAAGAAACACTTTAGCTGCCCATATTTTCTAAGAACTGTAGGTGTGGTTGCTGTTCCACCTCCTAATCTGGGATAACTGTGAGCTGTGGTACTGGTTTGGTTTGCTCTGCACTGACTAAGTTTGTTCCAGACTCAGTGTATGACAAACCAGAAATGAGGAAGGCATCAACAAGTAAAACCTGTTGGGAGAGAACAAAACATAAAGGAACAAAAGATAAAATTTCTTCAAAGGCATCTCAAAGCTCTGACCTTTGTTCTGAAAAGCATTAAAAAGGCTTTGAGATGGTATTACTGAACAAGTCTGCCTCCTGATTTTCTTTCTAAATTATCCAGGTTACAAGACAAATAACCATGATAATAATGTGTAGGTTTTTCTCCGTTATAGTTTTTGTCTGATATTATCTGTGGCTAAGGATGAATTTGTAGTTTCTGTTTCTTGATATTGTTTGTCACTTTCAGTTGCATGTCCTTTGTCAGTCCAAAAGCCGTTCACAACATTATTCCAAATGAGTTAAACTGAAATTAATTCATTTCATTTTCAAGTTTATCTTAAGTGAATTCTGGTTCATTTTTATCCAATTCAGTTAAATTTCATTAGTTATTTAACCTACACTTAAGCCACAAGAATAATGCATTACAAGACTGATATGTTAATTATATAAGATATTTAATAGTATACAGGAGTTACACATCAGTATAATTTTTTAAGTGTTTTATGGCGGAGTTTGATGCTGTGCTTCAATTCAGTCCAGTTGAATACAAACAATTCAGTAAATTTCAGTTCAACTCAGTTTATTTCAATTCAGTTTAAGTCATGCTAATTCAGTTCAGTTCAATTCAGTGCAACTTAGATCGATTCAGTTATATTCAAATCAATTTAGTTCAATTAATTTCAACTGAATTCAGTCTAGTCCAAGTCAGTTCAGTTCAGCTGAATTCAGTTCAGATCAGTTCAGTTCAACTTAGTGCAATTAGTCAGTTGAATGTTGTTCAGATTAGCGCAGTTCATTTCTATTCAGTTCCGTTTAACTAAGTTCAATTAAATTTAGGTTCAGTCAAAAATCACCAAAAGACACCGGACAAGAGAAAAAACACTAATACAAATTCTAGTTCTTGTCATGTAAGGTAAGTTTTGTCTTAAATGAACAAATTTGACTTGGTCCAGTCAAATTAATGCATTCAAATTTAGCACAGCATTCAGACAGCATAAACATGAAACACATTCACCGTGCAAAGTAAAACTTTAAACTAAATATTGTTGTTCATGCCCACTCATAATTGCAGAGAAATAGTGCTTGCTGAAGCAAATGTAATCAGTTATTGAAGGGCAGCAATCATGTGATCACAGCTTTCAGAGTCTGAGTAAATGTCAGGTTGTAGAAAGCACTTGTGATAACATTTTACTGCTCGCCCTTTGGTTCCTCATCTGCAGCACATTCTACTCCTTCTTTACAATCATTCCCTGACGAGCACTGGGGCCTTCAGTGGCACAAAAAGGAGATGAGGGAATAAAAATAGAACTGCTAATTAAGTGGCTGTCACCACAAACCAAAAGCAGCGGCTGCATTGTGAGCTGCCACTTCAGAAATGTTTCCCACAGCATTCTGTTCTTTGCAAAGTCTCTCTCCGAGGTCACAGGAGTGCTGCCAGGGACTTTAGTCCCTTGTGCATTTCATGGCAATCAATCTGAGGAGATGCAGAACTTATCTAGTTACAAACACAAGCAAACATGGGCAGAGTGCAGCCAGGTCGACCAATAGGAGTCAGGGAAACGACAACAGTGTGCGGCAGGAGGCTTGTAATGAAGGTGAGGTGTACTCTAGTGTTTTAATGCTGTTTTTAATTTAAAGACAGTCTAATATTTAGCATCTTGCAAAAGTCATCATAATTCCTCCATTGAACTGTGTCTTTTCCTTTTTTATTGCATTTTGCTGCATTCTAATAAACTTTAATACATTTTATTGGAACAGAAAATACTAGGAAGTGCTTAAACAAAATGGAAGAAAATTTAATGAAGTTGAAATTTAACTGAGTTAAATTGGATTAAATGTCTGTGACTTGAAAATTAATGTTCTATTGCTCGCCATCAATCAGAGCCGACTTGAAGTATTTTGTAAATACAATCTACAATACATTAAGTCTTTGCTATATAAATACAGTATAGAATAATACCACTATGAAAACAACTTGCAACTGTAATTGCACCAAAATGTGGTTGTACAAAGTTGCATACAAACAATTTTTTAGATGTTTATTAGTAAAATGTCTCAAAAAACAATATATTCTGTTACTTCCAGTCATGCTTTATGTTTTGTGTATCACATATAACCCCAATAAAATATATTGCAGTTTGTGGTTGTGGTTGATACAATGTGATATAAATGAATGGGTTTTATATTGTATGGTTCTGCATATTCAGATAACTGGCCTGTCAACTGTTTCTCCATAATCACTTTCAAACATGACTGATCCTGGTTAGTTTTCAGGTCATTTATGATTTAACAGTTTGTAAAATTTAGGCAGAACATTTATATTTTACCAAGTTTTTGTCTGGTGTTTTATCTACCACTTTGCATAACTGCAAAAGAGAATAAAAAATAAACTAATTCAAAAGCAACTGTCTTCCTCTTGAGATGGTCTTTAATATGTAATCATATTGCTCCCCCTTGTGTTAGCCTTTGGCTATTACACAAAGAAACTACAGTATTTGTCCTGGTAAGGGCTGAAGCAGCAGCTTATTCCACTTTTCACATGAATGTCATAATAAATCTTCCCCAGAGCATAAAACATTCATTAAAGTGTTAAATGCCAGCCTAAATGATTCAACTTCTCTATGAGCTGTGACAAAATTAATCACAGTGTGGAAAATCAGGGATATGGGGCGCTTATTAAAACGTACAACCAGATTTCTCTTGAGGAACAGCAATAAAAACCAGAAGCCAAATTTGTTAAAGCCAATAGGTTTTGCAAATTGGTTTGCTTTAAATCAAATAAATGAGTTCTTGCTTTAATAATGAACGTGGTGGATTAACAATCGATGCTCCAAAAACCATCCATAGCAAGGAGGTATTGAAATGCAAAAACAAAACTTATTAACTCTCCAAAGTTTAGATCTCTTTTAGTCATTAAAGATATTGAAAAGCTACGTTTGTCCTTTTCTCAGAGTAAATAACGCCTCTTTCAACTTCATTCGCCAGACAAAACAATGAAATGTGGGCAAAGCTGCACATCCTCAGTGGCCAATTTCTGGATTTGAGGCATAACTCTGGGGATTAGCTGGAACAGCAGTTAATTGCTTCAAACCAATGACGCCGAATTAATCCTTTGATTTTTGGACTCCTTTCATGAATGCAGAGGGGAAGGAAGGGAGGAGGAGAAAGAAAAGCTGCAAGAAGGAGAGAGTAATGGAGAGGAAACAGAAGAAACAACATTCTGACAAGAGAGCGGGCAGTAATGGCTAGCTGAACCGTCTTTCATCAGGAGGTAATGATATGAAACCTGTAATCTCCATGGGGGTGGCACGGTGGTAGGAAGATCAGATTACTAATTATAGTCTACTGGGATTCCTGAAGGAGAGCATGATGGGAGGCAGCCACATGGGGTAAGTTGACTCAGTCTGTTTCTAAGTGCTGAGCAAAAAAAATCTATATTTTCTATAACATTAATTATAATACAGGTCAAAATGTCATATGCAATATGTATGTAGTAAATGAAAATACTGTGGTTTACATTTTAATGGATGCAGAATAGTAATTTAGAAGCAACAAGGTGATTACCAACAATCTCTACTTGGCAAACAGTAGATTATCAGTTCAAATGTGTTAATTTTTTTCCCCTTCTTCATATAGACATGAGCGTTAATTATTTATTTCTTAATATTGTCGTACTAGACTTAGCTAATTTAAAAAATCTGTGATTAAAAGTGCTGTCACGCACAGATAAAGGGATAAGAAAACTTTAAAAAAATTAAAAACCTTGCTATTTGAAAAGAAAAGAAAAGTTTATAAGTTTTGCACAGTACTTTAACACTTCATTGTTGTTTTACCAAAACATGGATATGTGTGTTGATATTCCATCAGCACATTTAACTAAAACTCAAAAAGATAGTATTATTACCCAGAGCAAGAGGAGAAAAAAACCCCCCCATCAACTTCACATCCATGATGGTTCAGGTGATGTTCCACGTAAAATAAAAATTACATATCTAACATTTAACAAGCAATGGCTGCTCCTCCAATAGTGCTGGAGGGAAACAGTGTCTCTCCCTGCTCCAATGTAAATTATCTACACTGAAGCAATATTTTTATATATGCATCTATTGGAAAGTAGATCTAAATGTATATTTCTTGTGGAAAACCAGAAATTGTTTCAATTTGAGAGACCACCGACGTTAGCAAGATGCAAGTTGATTGAAGTAAATATCTGTAGCTTCTCCTGAGTCCTGACAGTAAAATGGGCCAGAGAAGCTTTTGTGTTGATTACAAACAACAATTTTACAGTGTGATACATTTTGACACTTCTACAGTGCTTTTCGGCTTTTGACAAATCAAATAATGTGGTGAATTATTCCTTTATTTTTTCCAATCTGCAGTCAGATGTCCGTAGAGGTTTGAGAAAGATGGTCAATTAGATGTCCTGTGCTTTTCGAATAAAGTGAAAGCTCCGCCTACAGCATCGATCTCATATTTCATTTATATAGTTAAAAAAATCAGGTTATTACATTTTGTTACTTCTTTTTCAGCATGGTTGGTTAAATTAGAATGGTTTCAGAAAGGATGAAGTAATGCTAGCAATGCTGACAAATTATAGCTATAAACAAGGACAACTTTTTCTCTAAGAAATCTTTATGCTTATTTTTGTCGTTTTGGAGGACATCTGCGCTTGATATTTGCCGAAACTTCTAACTTTTTTCAACCTAAGACAGAAAAGGTGCCAGACTTGCCTCTCCCTCGCCTCCACTTGCTCATGCCCTTCCCTCTCCTGCTTGTCTGTCAGAAAATATCCAATCCTTAAGTGTGTGCGACACCGCCATCAGCCTAATTATCATGGATGGATGGAAGCTCAGCACTTCAGCAACAGGAGCAACAGTTCTTCAAATGTCCTTTGCTGTCACACATTTTCTCTTCTCCAGTGTGGAAATCACTCAAGTAAAAAGATTCTGGATTATGTGAATATCTTTGGATTAAAGGCTTAGATTCTGTTTACTGATTCAGTACGTTAGATTCTCTGTGCGTTATGATATTTTCTGTGTGTGTTGTGTCGCTGCGCTTTTCACACAGAAGGATTTCTCTCCCTCTCTTCCCCCCCCCCCCCCCTAATGTGGCGAATGGTTGACTTTCAAAGATGATTTTTGGGCAAACATGGACCCTCGCTGTGATCTGAGTTTTTCCTGAACTCCAAAAGTGTCAAAATGATTGAAATGGGAAACTAAAACCACTCAAGGACATTGGGACAGTGAACAAATCTCCCCCATATCCAATTTTTCCGGTATCTCCCATCATCAAGAATCTTCATTGCAACAACCGGGTGTGAATGTGCTGTTATTGCAGCCTGGACAGTTCGGGGAAGGAGTTCAGCCACATTCTGCCACCTCACCTCTGTGATTTGCTGCTGTTGGCTGCCAGAGTATTAATGAACTTCAGTAATGTGTTGGGCAGGAAGAACGGACTTGCAGGCTGTTTTCAAATCCAGCCCTGAGGTGCAGAATCGACTTGATAATTAAACTGTGGTACTTGAAACCTGATTGGATGGAAAACGCATGTCTTACAGATGTAATGTAAAACTGAAATGTTCATAAGCACTCAGGAAGACTGAGTCTATCTCATGTTGCCATAACGATAAGTATATAAAAAAAATGTGGATTAAATATTAAAAAAGAAAAGGTTGAGATTTTTTTTTTCAGCCTGTGGTTTCATACATGGATAATCCACGTTGTGCTGTCACAGGATTGGCATTGTGTGCATAGTAATATGACCATAAACAAACAAGTTCAGCTCTTTTGTCATCCAGGGAGAGTAAAATGTGGGTTAGATTGTCAAAAGTTGAGTTTTTTACATTGGTAGATTTAATTTTGATCAAATTTTTCCAACAGTTTCTTCTCTAAAACTGCAAAAAGATGATAGTAGAAGAATGATTGTGCAGTACATGCTCTGTTACTCCAGGAAATGTACGTTTATTTTTGGCTTCCTGGAAGAAAAATAATTTTTCATCTGTTTTTAATAATGCACAGAAAACAATAAGTTTCTTGTAGTGGAGCGGAAGCTGCATGACAAACCCCTGGGGAGGCAGCCAGCTGACCAAGGGAGGAATACGATGTTGGACGCTCCGTTAGCAGGGGAAGGTTTAGATCAAATCTGCAAAATTGAGCTGTTTGGCCAAAATAACAAGAAGAATGTGGAGAGGCAGTGATGCATGGCACAAAGGAGGAGTCCTAAACTTCACCTTATAATAAGACAGACAATTGGAAAGTGGAGAGCTGTCTCCACTTTCTAAGGTTTCAAAGGTTTTAATATTAAATACACGTAAAAACTGGAAGGCTAATAACAGCTTTTAGAATAACCATGACCTCAAGAATGTTAAAAATGTGTAGGTTATGTTTAAAAGATGGTCTATGGCAGGAAATCAACCAATTTAAATGAACTATGATTTATGAGTGGAATCAGGTTTTCAGCCAAATAATTGCAAGAAGCTTATGGATAACTCCCAAATAGTGTGGTTTGTCTGCAACTTGAACAGGAACAAAGATCTAACTGGAATGGGTGTTTGTAGGAAGAAAATAATTTTCATTATGTGTTGAATCTAAAAAGAGTATAGTTTAAAGAAATCATTAAAAGTCCCAAAGTAAAATGATATACTGATAAAAAAAATGTACATTTGGCTGGAACCTGTGAGTAAATAAACCGATTCTCTTTCAGAAAAAAAAAAAAAAAATCCTTCTTTGAGCCCTGATTGGTTCCATAATTCATTGTGACAGGAGAGGCAGGCAGGAGATTTTGGATGGATCATTAAAGAATAAGACAGTCACACAATATACATCAGTGTGTCTCCCACCCAGCCTTTTTTGAGCATCATTTGGATCTTCAATTACACTTTAAAAAAAGAAAACAATCGCTACCGTTGTCACACAATCATCAATCTGCGAGTCTTCTGCGACCATAAAGTGGCCTCAGCGGATTGAGAGTTGTTCTGGCTCTTATAAAAATAATAATTCTCTGTATCCTAGAAAAAAATAAAAATAAAAAATCTGTGCGGTTTTTCAGATTTATGTCCAACACTGAAGCTGCTTGCTTGGTAGAAGGCCCTGCAGAGTCGTAACTTTGGGATAATGTTTCAGTTCATCCTCTCCTTGTCCTACTGCCTCAGCTGGATCATAAAGCTTAAGTCTTTTTTGGAAATTGGATTGGAAGCACAGTCAGTGCCTTTGGGGATGTAAGGTAATATTATTTGGTTTAAAATTTTTACTTCTTTTCCTTTCAATGTGCAGTGTGTTTTATATTTCTATAAAATATTCATGCCTTACAAGCGGTGTGGGATAATGTTCCTGTTGCACATCCTACACCCAAGACTTAGACATATTTAAACTTTATGAAAACATCCATTCTCGCCGTACAGGTCTCCTCTGACACTTACAAAAAAGATACAGCATTAAAAATTACAAGATTGCCTCGTCTCCACCTTTTATTGCTCTCGAAAGCAATAGAAGAAGGAAGCCGACAGAATGAGAGTGGGAGGGAGATCATAAAGATCATCATAGATCAATATCAAGGCAAGGAAAAACTAATGAAAAGAGATGTAAAATGTAACCTTGGGAGGATCTGCCTTAAAGGAAATATAGTAGAATAAAGATACAATATAACAGCAATCCTTCAACATCTGAGCTCAGGTACCACACAGCTGCTACTTCTGCACTCTCTCTCTCTCTCCATTTTCCTTACTTTTGACCGCCTGTGGTGGGCCAATATCACAGGAGCCGGCGCCTGAGGGTGGGGGCACGAAGATGGAAGAATGTAATCTCTTTGCTGAGCCTGGACCCCCTCTGGAGCGCTGGACTTTATTTTTCATCCAGCCCAGTCAGCTTGTGCCTGCAGCTGCAGATCACCACCACACTTCATTTCAGGCCCTCCGCAGCACGGACGCAGAGTGACTGGAGGCGGCGCGCGTAGAAACAGAACTTCACAGAAGTTACTCACCGGGCCAGCATGGACTGACGCTGATGGCCGTGTCAGTCCGGAGCTTGGAAGTGGAGCTTCAAGGAGTGGCATCAATCATCATTAGTAAACTCTATTTCAACTGCAGATGAATGAAAACATCATGGGTGATTTCTCATTGCTTTGTAATTTGTGATCTTACTTAATATATCTTCCAAGCTATGTAAAGTTTGTCTTTGGACTTTGATTTTTATTGTTTCCCTGCAAAAATACAAAATCTTGGCAAGAAGTTTTAGTCTAATTTCCACTGCAAATATTAGTATCCTTGAAATAAGACAAAGCTAACTTGCTTGTTTTAAGTCAATAATTTCTTAATTCTAGTTATAAGTTTTCATCAATATTAAAGAATTATTGACTTAACCCTCCTGTTGCAGGTCAAATTGACCCGTTTTAAAGTTTAAAATAAAAAAAAATAGTTGGAAGTATTTTTTTTTTTTTGCATAAAGCTTTTTCTATTTGTCTTAGTAGGTGCACTCTACATATAAATTGGAAATTTATTTATTTTACACATTTGTAACCCCCCTTGTGTCTACTTGTTACATTGATACTGTTCGGGTCAATTTGACCCGGCAGTCAAGTTAAAGTGCAAAAATAGATAAAAAAATGTTAAGCAAACTCTTATTTCTTGCTGAAAAGTATAGGGAGTTAATTTGGTCTTATTCCAATCATATTTGCAAAGATAAAAAATATGTTACAAAATTTGATTTTCAGCGCCAACAAGCACCAATTTCAAAACCTGCCATGCAGCAGATGAAAATAAAGTATCTCTTACATCATGTGTCATTAAAGACATCACTTTTATATGCTTTATTTATTGAGCAAGGCACTTTGCATTTTTGAATGATTTACATGGCAAATTTCTATACATGAGTGAAAAAGCAGCCAAAAGTCAAACAAAAACTTTTAAAAGACTCTTAAAACATTTGGAGAACGATTGATCAAGAAGTTTGGTTCCTCAGAAGAAAATGACATGCCTTATAGGTGCAACTTTCACATATTGCAAAATTAAAACTTTGCTCTGTTTTAATGTGACTTTATCTCCTAAAGCAACTGATTAAACTGGATTTTATTGATGTCAGAGTGAAGAAATGCTTGACATGCTTTTAAGATTCCTGTTGGAAAGAAAACAAACGGAAATCGCACTTTTAAGGCGACTAAATGTGAAATCATTTAAGAGGGATGAATACTTTTTCAGTGCAGTATTCAAAGTAACCACAGGTGGTTTTAAGCTTTTTCTTAGTACAACACACCTGTTACAATCACCAGTAACTCCATTTTGTTAAATATGTTTTTTCCCCACCATCAATCACATATTACATACTCAGATTTATTTTAAAAAGTTAATGTAAGATGTTGAACTCCTAAAGCCAGGATTAATTAAATTTGACATCCGAATCAGCCTCACTGAAGGTTCACAGAGACCAAATCTGGTAGTGAAAATCATTCCCAGGAGTTTTAAACAGCAGGATGTGCAGGATGAAAATCCACCTTAAGGCTAGTTTTAAAAATCCATCTTCTTATCTGATCACCCGTCAGTTTGTGAATGTGTGTGGGTGTTAGTAACCTTTGACCCTGAGAATAATCTACTCTCAGCAGGACGTGAGAGGGCAGACCCTGCAGGAGTTAGACTGGACTTATTTGCTTTTTTTATTTTTAAACCACACACAAACACAATTCAGCTTTTTAATAGGCTGAATATCTAAAAAACTTTAGATATTAAACAGATTTCAGTGTAGTTGAAAATGGAAGTTATATACTGTTATGAAGTGAGAGACTCGTTTGAAGCAAAACAACAGATAAGCGTATATTTTATGTTTGCCATTATTCACAAGAGAATGGAAATTACTTGAATAAGTTTCTGAATAATGGTGCTGCTATTTTCAAAGTGACTGAGATGACATGCAGCAGATAAATCTAAATTGCCTCCAGTTCTACTAACTCATTATTGTGTTTTCTTCAGAAATCTGAGCGGTGCAAAAACCACCGCATGGTATCAAACTAGATGGAACTGAGAGTGTAAAACAGCCACGCAGCAGCTGTCCTGGCTGAGCGCCTCGCTGGAGTGCATTTCAGAGGAGCTTGTGGGCTTGTTATTCATGCTGGAATTTAAAGAGTTTGTTCCACTCATCGTTTGTGATGAGCCCCGGTTGAAGAAATGCCAGAAATGTAGTCTGCTTGTTTCACTCTGATGTTTTATTCATGCAATAGACTCGGCTCACTTAGGTCAACATGGTAATAACTGCAGATCCCCATAATATATCATAGTCATCAAAGTCATCTTTGTGAACTTAAATTTAATAGTAGAAATTTTGTACATGAAAACTAACATTTTATAACATCTTCATTTTACTCCGGAGGACTTTTTGGTTTATGGGATATACTTTTGTTTTTCTGAGAGAACAGTTTGGAATATTTTTATATAGCAATGAATTTTTCCCCCTGAAAATGTCTGAAAAAACTGTAAGTGTAAGAAATGGAGAAAGAGTGAAAAATATGAGCACACCCTATAGATACAGTATTTTTCACATTCCCCATGAATAAGCTGAATTTTGAGAAATCATTCAAAAACAAACGGAATGGAAGTTATTTCCATAATAACTACTTTGCTATGCTAATCCAGCACT